GCCGCTGCCGCCGCCGCCGCCGCCGCCGCCGCCGCCGCCGCCACCGCGCGCTACTCCATGGACAGCCTGAGCTCGGAGCGCTACTACCTCCAGTCCCCCGGGCCTCAGGGCTCCGAGCTGGCCGCGCCCTGCTCGCTCTTCCCCTACCAGGCGGCGGCAGGAGCGCCCCACGGATCCGTGTACCCTGCTCCCAACGGGGCGCGCTACCCCTACGGCTCCATGCTGCCCCCCGGCGGCTTCCCCGCGGCTGTGTGCCCACCTGGGAGGGCACAGTTCGGCCCGGGAGCCGGCGCGAGTAGCGGAGCGGGCGCGGGCGGCGGCGGCGGGGCAGGCGGCCCGGGGGCCTATCAGTACAGCCAGGGGGCTCCGCTCTATGGGCCGTACCCTGGGGCGGCAGCTGCGGGGTCCTGCGGAGGATTGGGGGCGTTGGGGGTTCCTGGTTCCGGCTTTCGTGCCCACGTCTACCTGTGCAACCGGCCTCTGTGGCTCAAATTCCACCGCCACCAAACCGAGATGATCATTACGAAACAGGGCAGGTGAGAGCAGCGCGGAGGGGCTCCGAGGTGAATGACAATTGAGTGACTGTGTGGTCCTGGGGAAGGCCGGGGGTGAGGGAGCTGTGCCCATTCGCTCCGCGATTTGTTGGGAGAGTGTTTTTCCGCGAGCATCTCCAATTCGGTGTCCCTCCCGGTCCGCGCACCGGTTTGTGCACGGTGCTAATGTTACAGCTGCCCCCCCTGCCCCCCTCCCCGTCACCCTCACCTGGACTGGCGAGAAGGAGGCGGAAATGGAAATTGGGAATTGTCCACAAAGCTGGATTTACTAGATCCGCCCGCTCGGCATACCGAGCTGGTCCCTGCATACCCGCGAGGAGCTGCGGGTGGGGAAAGGCGCAAAGGTTGGCTTCCTGAGCGCAGTAGATGGGCTCCCGCAGTTTTAGGCGCCAGAGTCTCCACGGGGCGCCTCGGGGAGATGGGCATCGGAGGGTTGGCTGGTGCGGGTAGTTGATTAGGCAGGCCCTGGAGCCAGACCTGGTGGGGTTCGGGACGTGAGAAAGTTCTGATACCCATCCAACTGCTAACAGTGGGTACGAATGGGAAATGGGAGGGGTGGGTGCTGGGAGAGGGGCGCTCAAGGGGAACTTTGAGCCTGACGAGTACCATTTAAAAATTTTAACACGAACAACTGAACGTTGTTCTCTGGTACTTAAACGTAGAAAAACGAATGATTTTTCATATCCTGGAAGAAAAATTAAGAACTTGAGTGGGGAGAGGGTGCAGTAGCACCTCAACTGGGGAAATGCTTACTTTGGGGCAAATTGTTTCAGAAAAGAGATGTTCCCAGAGTTGACAACTCAAGTATTTTGCAGAGTGAGGGGCCACTTTGTGGACCAGTATTCTGTTCTTTCTGTGGGCCTTTCAGTGTCCTACTCTGACCTACCCCAGGTGCCGGCAAACCTGGTCTGGTGCGGGCCTGCTCTCAGGCATCCGGATTTAAGCCGCTTATCCTGCTTCTGTTCCCTCATTCAGGCGCATGTTTCCTTTCTTGAGCTTCAACATAAACGGACTCAATCCCACGGCCCACTACAACGTGTTTGTAGAGGTAGTGCTGGCGGACCCCAACCACTGGCGATTCCAGGGGGGCAAGTGGGTGACCTGCGGCAAAGCGGACAATAACATGCAGGGTGAGGAGAGAGGAGGCCCAGGCAGGGAGGGGCGGGCACTGAACTCCTGACTCGGAAAGCTCACATTTAAATCGAGCACTTGCCCCTCATCTGGGGCCTAGAGGTGTTAGTATGAGTTTCTTGGTGTTGCTGTTGGAATGGGGGAGAGAGGGAGAGAATTGCCAAGTCAGATTTCTTGCCTAGGAATATAAACTTTGGTACTGTAACCATGACCCTACTCTTCCCCACCCTCCCCCACCAATTCCTACTAAATTCTCCTGGGTGGAAAGGGCTCCCAACACTCCAGCCTTCACTTGAGAAAGCCTTCCCCAAGGTTGAGTCCGCCCATGAAAACCCAACCACTTTCCATCAGATGTTGCCCTACCAGCTTTAGGAGGCCCCAAATTGACCTTTAAGAGACATCTCCTGGTGGCTCCTTTTATGTATTTTGAGGTAGCATTAAGATGACTGCCTTGTTCAAGGAGGGCCGGAAGCACAGGGGCCCTGGGAGGGCCGTCAGTGGAATCCCGGTGGAGAGCGAGCTCTGGGGAGACTTGTGCCTGAAGACTAGCTCTTGAATCTATATGTAACAGACATCCCTCCCCTATGTCCATGTGTAATCAGCCCTATCTGCTTGGGTTTTGTGTTTTGTTTCATTTTCTCTTAGGCAACAAAATGTATGTTCACCCAGAGTCTCCTAATACTGGTTCCCACTGGATGAGACAGGAGATTTCCTTTGGGAAATTAAAACTCACCAATAACAAAGGCGCAAATAACAACAACACCCAGGTAGAGTGACAGAGGACGGGGTGGCTTCTGGCCATAGATTTCTTTTCCTAACAAGTTACCATACTCTTTGCTGTATTTGTAATATCTGCAGTTGTTTACCTGTTTGCTCACCTAGTTCTAACCTTTTTTTTTTTTTTCTTTTGACCTTTCATTTTCACTAGACTTCAGTCAACAGTGAGTTGACTATTAGGAGAAGAAATACTAAAGTCTTTGGGGGACTTAGTAACTAAGAGGAAAGAGTGTTTGTCAAACACGCATAGCCAGCCAGCTAGGTTTTAAGTTGCAAAAGCAGCAATGAGAAGATCTTAAAAATGGCTATAGAAAAAGGTAACTGTCAGTGGGCGACAAGCAGGAGTCCCATTCCAAAACATGTAGTTTGACAAGATTTACCTCTAAGAGACTTTATGGATTTGGCAGCTCTTTTTCTGTACCATTTCCAGATGATAGTGTTGCAGTCTTTACACAAGTACCAACCCCGACTGCACATTGTTGAGGTGACAGAGGATGGCGTGGAGGACCTGAACGAGCCCTCAAAGACTCAGACCTTTACCTTCTCTGAAACGCAGTTCATTGCGGTGACTGCCTACCAAAACACCGATGTGAGTGTCCCAAATGGCCCAAGAATCTCTACAGCTAGGTCCAGCGTGATAAAGCACTCATCAACTGACTGTTTTTCTCCCCTCTCTAGATAACTCAACTAAAGATTGATCATAACCCCTTTGCAAAAGGCTTCAGAGACAACTATGATTCGTAAGTGCAGCTTTTATTCATATTTGCATGGTCATCTTTGAACAGGACATACATAACCAGACACTTCCCAGAGAACATTCTAGGACGAGTCTTCACGTTTGTTTGGGATTTTCAGCTATTTTTATTTTTGCGTTTTGTCCCCCCTTGGCTAATCTTGCTTTAGAATTTTCACGGAAGGGTTTGTTAATTTTTAAAGCAATGTTAAGGGCTGAAAAATGAGGAGCTATTTTTTTTAACATTTGAGTGGAGATTTGAAATTTTCGTAATCTGCATTTATATACCTTCCTTTTCATTTGATCCAACTTTCTTATCCTCCGAGGAATAGGTATTATTACTCCCCCTCTTTTATTATCATTATTTTTTTTTTTTACATAAGAAAAACCTAAAACTAAGAGGATGTAATTTTCACAACATTAAACAGTAAAGCCCCACAAGGTCATTTACATGTGGGATTTCTAATACCACAGTCAGCATTCCTTCCCTGACATTGACAAAGGAGAGTGGCACTGTTCTTCAAGTTCTAGGACTTGCAAAGGTGGATTTTTCTATAGTTTAAATACTTAGTGCTTGGGAGGAAACTTTTTCCTTATGAGCCAAGCGTCGGGCTGAAATGGGCCAGTGCATCTCCTACCTCCATCCCTCCACTCCAGCAGACCAGTGCTCCCAGTACAGCCCACTATGTGAGCCTTTTTGATTTCTGGGAGGTGGTTATTTGGTAACAACATTAGGGTTTTTTTTTTTTTAAGTGTTTCTCTTTATATTGTAGCATGTACACCGCTTCAGAAAATGACAGGTTAACTCCATCTCCCACGGATTCTCCTAGATCCCATCAGATTGTCCCTGGAGGTCGGTACGGCGTTCAGTCCTTCTTCCCGGAGCCCTTTGTCAACACTTTACCTCAAGCCCGATATTATAATGGCGAGAGAACCGTGCCACAGACCAATGGGCTCCTTTCACCCCAACAGAACGAAGAGGTGGTCAACCCTCCCCAGCGGTGGCTTGTCACGCCTGTCCAGCAACCTGGGACCAACAAACTAGACATCGGTTCCTATGAGTCTGAATATACTTCCAGCACCTTGCTCCCATATGGTATTAAATCCTTGCCCCTCCAGACGTCCCACGCCCTGGGCTATTACCCTGACCCAACCTTCCCTGCCATGGCAGGGTGGGGAGGTCGAGGCTCTTACCAGAGGAAGATGGCTGCTGGACTCCCATGGACCTCCAGAACAAGCCCCACTGTGTTCTCTGAGGATCAGCTCTCCAAGGAGAAAGTCAAAGAAGAAATCAGCTCTTCTTGGATAGAGACCCCCCCTTCCATCAAGTCTTTGGATTCCAACGATTCGGGGGTATACACCAGTGCTTGTAAGCGCCGGCGGCTGTCTCCCAGCACCTCTAGTAATGAAAATTCTCCCTCCATAAAGTGTGAGGACATTAACGCTGAAGAGTACAGTAAAGACACCTCAAAAGGCATGGGGGGGTATTATGCTTTTTACCCAACTCCCTAAAGAGTTATTTTAACTACGTCAAAATGAGCTAACTTTTTGCAGATGGACTTGGTGGTGTTTTTTGTTGTCTTCTTTGCCTAGGTTTGCCAAAAAGACGTTTGCATTCCACCTTGATGCATCCCGTTTTGTGCAATCCTCTAAAAGAAGGTGCCAAAGCTTTTTAATTGCTGCAGGTAACTGAAACAAGCCTCGCATTTTTTTGTTTTTTAAATAAAATTAATGAAGGACTTTAAAGCGTTTTAAAAATTTGAAGGTTATTCAAGGTTCTGGATTTATTTATTGGAGGCACTAAACATTCAGAGAATCGGGCTGTGAAGATTCGGAGTGCTGAGCGCTAGCCAATGAGTTGAAAGATCTGGTTCTCATTCCTATGTGTAAATCTGTAAGCAGAGAGAATCCCGGAGTGGCAAGGTGTTTTGCTTCTGGAAGAGAAGGGCTGGGCCTTAAGCTTCAACAGGGGACTTTTTGCTGTTACTTTCTGCTAGGGACAAAAGATAGCTAGGCCTGGGAGGTGAGAAAAACCTTACGTGAAGGTGCTGGCTTTACCTGACTTTGATTCCTCCTAGGCTTTCGAAGCAAGCCATGTTTGGCCCTAGTTCAGGACTGTGTCACAGGCTAGGCCTCTGCTGTGGGCTGGGGTGGCTAGTAGGACTCAGGAGAAGGGGGTGGGGAAGGGAGTGGCCAAAAAAGAAAATAAGAGAGAGAATTTTAAAGTGTACAGTTTTGTGTGTGCTTAGATACACTGTAGAATACCGTGGGATATATTGTACAAATAGTCTCCTTACGTGTCTGAGATGATGAAAATTGGTGCTTTGGCTTTGTCAAGAATTCACAGATCACCTGACAGCAGGGCTTGGGGGGGGATAGGTTCTCTCATCATCCCGGATATTGGGGAATATTCTGTTTACTTCTTAGATAGTTAAGAATGTATTCAGCTACAATGTACTAACTTGAAACATGTGTAAGGAAAACTCCCCTATTTCACCCTCTTTCTTTGCCATCCCCACTACCCAGCTCGGTAATGTGAAGAAACTAAAACCTGATGCCACAGCTCCTATAGGCTTTTTAGAGATCTTGGATTTTTATGTACAGTCTTAGTCATTTTTAATAAATGTGGTTCATTAAGGGAACAGGCATAGCTCTGTCTTCTGTACTTGGAGTTGTAATCTTTGTTTTAAAGATCTTATTTTTCTTCCCTCTCACTCTTCTCCAGCATGAACAGTGTCCCCCCCCCACCCCACCCCCACCCGCAGGTTCTAGAATCTGTAAGTGGACACTGTAGTCATGAGGGGGTGGGGTTGCTTTTGTTTATCTTCTTTTTTTCTTGAAGATGAATGGGTTTATTTCCTCACCCCACTGGGAAGTCTGGACAATGGGTATTGGGCCGGTGGGGGTGGGGGTGGGGGAGAGGGGAGGTTGCAGAGATGCAGGATTGCCTATGTTAGGCTTAACCCGGCCTGGAAAACCTCGGCCACCAGCTCTTGGATTCCGGGCCCTGTCTCGGCCCGTGACCACTTCGTTCTCTGGGCTTTTTCCTAGGCTTTCTTGGGGCCACCCGTCCCAGGACCCACGTGGGCTCCCCGGGAACCCCCGCGGCCCTTTGAGCGCCCACGAGTTACTGGTCCCTGCAGCGCGGCGGGAAGCGGGCCGCCCACAACTCAGCTTCTGCTCCAACCTGCGGCTTTTTTTCTACATGGAGCCCCCAAGCGCACCCGCCGCTGCGGGCTGCTAGTCTCGGTAGCTGCTGGCCGGGGCGCGTCGCGGGCGGCCAAACTCGGCCACGGACGCTGGGGACGCTGCGGCGGCGGCGGTGCGGGCGAGGGGCGGGCGCGACACTTAGAAATGAGGATTCCAGTCGTCCCGTGCAGCTCCACTCTGGAAACAGCGGCCGGGAGCCGTTCGCCCTGAGTCTAGCTCCGTTTATTTGGCTCTCCTTCCCCAGGAGGCCGAAGGCCACCCCATCCCCTGGCTGAGCCCTAGGCCCGCCGAAAAGTTAAACCCAGGAGTGGGGCGGAGGGCCCTTTGTCCCCCCCCTGCCAGACGTCCCGCCAGGCTTATCTGCAGACGGCTTCTGGCCCAGCTTGCAAACCTTTCCAGCCCCTTCCTGACCCTCCCGGGGTAAAGGTCTGGCCGGGAGGGTCATTTTGCTAAACTGCGTGGCGCGGAAATGCAGTTGCTAAGAGGATTAGCTGCTGGGAGGCGAGCAATCAGCCGGGACCTCCTCCTCTTCCGCGCCCAATTAAGGCCGCTAGGAGCCTCTCCCCAGTTTCCCATTCCCTGTATCCTTCCTGGGCCCGAGCTCTTCCCGCGCCGCCCGTGACCTTGGGGGCCCCGACTCTAGCCCCAAGTCTATGACCGTGCCTCTTCAAAAAGCTTTACCAAAGCCGCCCGGAATTTTACGACGCTATAAGCGAAAGCTTGAAATCTGGTTTATGTATATTTATTATGGATAACAGATTCAGACTCTGGCGGGAGGACTCGCAGCCCCCCTAACCTGGTCAGCGCCCCCCTCTCCCCCCCAGGGACCATAACGTACTGGGAGCAGCGACAGAATTTCGAAACAGTGCTCTGCCCTCTAGAAAGCCCGGATAATGCTAATCACCGCCGGGATAAAGCAGACTCTGGTCCCAGTCTATTTCGAGTCCTGTATATTTTTGCACCGTACAGTAAAAAGAACCTGGTACTTGTGAAAAGTCCCTCACAGTGTTTAATAGAAACGTAAGTGGCTGAGTGGCCCCAATTAACACCTTGTGATAAGGCATTCCTAAGATGGAGTGTCAGACACCAAATTGTGAAGAGATGTATCTAATTAATCCTCCTAGGATGACACCGATAAACAAGCCTCTATTTAAATAATGATCAAGGGCTCGGCGCCCCGTTTGTTTACATTCTCTGCCAGGGTCCCCGCGTTTGCACCCGCTCAGGCGGCGTTCCCTGCGCAGGGTGGAGACCCCGGCTTGGGGGTCTGCTGCTCCGCCGGGATTCGCTTCACCTCCGTTCCTGCTCCAAACAAAAGCACACAGTAAAGCGAATAAACCGCAACGAAAGCCCAGAGGAAAACGAAGGGCAAAAAGAACCCGACTCTGAGTTGGAAAGGCTGTTGTTTGCCATTTTCCACGCTGTCCTTTACATAGCCATTTTTTTCGTTGTTCGAGTTTTCTTTTTTCTTTTTTAAGGCAAACGAAAAAAATAGCTCCCGCGTAGCTCCTGGACGTCTTTCCTGCTTTGGGAAGAACTCGGGGCGGGGCTTCCCTCCACTCCCCACCCCGCCCCGGCACAAGTTCGCTCCCCTTAGTCCCAGGATTCCTCCTCCTGGGTGCCGAAGCTGCGAATTGCTGGGACCTGGGGTAGCTGTCCTCAGGGTGGGCTGGGGAGCCGCCCACTGGGAAAGGCTGGAAGAGTACGAAAAGAAGTAGGCGATGGGAGAACCTGCATACTAGCGCGCCAACTGTTAACTAGGGCCGGGGTTTGGAATCTGCAGCAGAGCATCTCCCAACTCCGTAATGGAGAGTTTGAAGCTCCCGATCAGCTTTTGGTCCTAGCGTCCTTCTTCGGACACCTTTGATTAACTTTAAACCTGGAGGTAAAGGCAAACTCGCAGTCTTCCCTTTCCTCTGCAGTCTCTTCCTTCTTTCTGAACCAAACAAGTGTGTGTGTGTGTGTGTGTGTGTGTGTGTGTGTGTGTCGGGGGGAGGGGGGTGATGATGCGATTCTGGTAAAAATTTGCAGGTGTCACGGAAAAGCACCGGAGTAAAAACGTTCCCGCATTCCCCTTGATTTTAATCGAAATTGAGCCTCCAGTAGGGACAGAAATTAGAATCACTCGTTTTCCACTCGCCTGGACGCTGGCTGCATCCTTCATTTTTTTCACGTTCGCGCCGCGATGTCCCCCACTAAGCTGCAGGCCGACTCCAAAAGTTGGGCTTTCACCTCGCGGAGATTTCAGCGTCACCAGGAGGCGCTTTTTAAAGACAATTTGCAAAACTGTTGGTGAGCCCGATTGAGTCCCTTTCTATGAAATCCCCATCTCCTCCGTGCCCCATCCCTCAAGTTTTTTAGGCTTTCGAGTACGCGAGCTTCGGCCCGGGTGGATTCGAACCCGCGCAATCTGTCCACCTGCGCCTATCCTCTTCTGGGTAGAGGACGAGGCCTGCGCCCAGCGCACACCCTTGGGGTTCCCGCCCGCCTGAAATTGAATACCGCCTGAAGTTACGAACATTTTTTTTTTTTAACAAGGCGGGGAGGCTGACCTTGAGGGCCACTGAATTTCCCCTTTTCACGGCTTAAAGGAAAAGTAAACTTTCTCTCCTGGAGGTCCATTTACCCTATACCCTTTCCTCCTTCGACCCTAGTAGTCCTTTGCGCTTCGCCAAAGAAGAGCGTCGAGTTCCCCAGGGGAAGGATTTAGCAGAGCCACCTACGGAGCAGGCCCTCAGCAATGGTCCCCCAAGTTTCCGGGCTTCTGAGGGATCCCTGACCAACCCCGAAGCGCAAGTCACTGCTTATTTTAGGCAGCAAGGTGTGCATCCTCCACTTTAATCTCCCCACCTTCGGGTCTCCTTAAAAAGCCCTAAACTTGCTTCTATAAGCTTGTGGAGGCAGCAGGACTCGCGCAGCAACTTCTGTAACTTTAGGCTCGGCTCAGCTTTCCGCGCAGTGTCGGAGCGCCTTGCCCTTGGCCTTGGGTCTCCGGGCAGTTTCCGCGCCCGGCGCGGTTGTCCGCTGGGCAGCGAGCAGCCTTCGCCATCTGGTGGCCACGGCGAGTATCGGCCCAGCCGCCCAGGACTTCCTTCCACTCCCGAAGTCGCTGTTTTGTCAGGTCCTGGAGCGTTCTGTAAACAATTACTTTCTTTATTCCACTCCCACTCTTCCCTTTTCAAGCTTCTTGGTGTGGGGGGAGGAGCCCAGAATGTGGAATTTCTAAGACTCTACGTTCTAGTTCTGGCCCGTGGCTTCAAGGCAGCAATTGCCCTGGGCTTCCTTGAGCTTCATTCATTTCTGCGAAGTGACACAACACCGACCTCGCCCAGTAGTACCCAGGAGGAAGAAATGAGATTGTAAATGAACTGCTTTGTAAACTGTTGCGTAGCTCCAAGTCTTAGTAGGCATTATTAATTACTGATTTTATACATGATATGTGATGGTAAACTCAAATGCATTGGCAAATGAAAGATTCTTTATTTGCCCAAAAAATTACGGAAAATTTCAAACATACATCAAAGTAAAAAGAGCAGTGGACCCTCATTTATCTTCCAGCTACAACAATCATCAGCTCATGGCTGCTCTTGTTTCCTCCCATAACCCCCCACCTCATTCACAAATCCCAGCAATCCTGACATCTAATCCAGAATTATTTCCATACTTAGCCCTAAAACATAAGGATTCTTCAAAAAATATATATATACAGTCATAATTTATCACACCTACAGAATTAACAATAACTTCTTAATATCGTGAAATATCCAAGCATGTTTCCCTTATTGTCTCAAAGTTTTTGTTTTTGTTCTTCCGGTTTGTTTTTTTTTTTTATAGTTGGTTCATTTGAGTCAGGATCCAAACAAGTCCCACATATCTGGTTGATGTGTCACTTAATTCTCTCATTCAAGACATCTTCCCCTTGCTCTCCTCTTTTATTTTTTCCTTACAATATATTGCAGAAGTCTGAGCATTCATTCTGTCTAATTTTCCAGGTTCCCACCTGCCCGAAACTGAATACCACCTGAAGTTAGGAACTTTTTTTTTTTTTTAACAAGATGGGGACGCTGACCTTGAGGGCCACTGAATTTTCCCTTTTAACGGCTTAAAGGAAAAGTAAACTTTCTCTCCTGGAGGTCCATTTACCCCATACCCTTTTCTCCTTGGTCTGGATTTTGCTGGTTGCATCCCCATGGTGATAACCCGATCCTCTGACCCTTATATTTCCAGTAAAGTGATAATTACATATGGAAACTGATCTAATTCAAGTTCTATATTTTGGCAACAATATTTCATGGGTAATAATATTCCATCAGGAGGTTCGTGATGTCTGGCTAGTCTCTCCTTGGGGCATGCCGTTGTCCATTGATGATTGTCCACTAGATCCATTATTTCATTAAGGGTTTCACAAAGTAAATAAATTCCAGTACATCTGT